CCATCCATCCATCCATCCATCCATCCATCCATCCATCCATCCATCCATCCATCCATCCATCCATCCTCCCGTCCACTCATCTACTGATCTACCTATCTACCCATCCACTCATCCGCCCATCCATTCACTCATCTACCCACTCACCATCCATACATGCAGTCAGCAGGCCAGCTGAGTTGTGTGCTGCTCTAGGTACATGGTGAGGGATCTAGAGATATCATTTCTTTCTCATCCTCAGAGCCACCTAATGGGTTACCAACAACTACAGAAAAGACAGGATGTAGTCTGTGCGCAAGAAACGTATGCTCAGGGATTAGATGCAAGTAAGACCATGCCAGGCCCTGCTCAGTCTCCAGAAGAGCCTCTGCCTTCATTCCAGCCAGGAAGGACTAGAATATAGAGATATTAGTTTGTCTAAAGCCCTAGGTAAAAATTTCTTCAAAGCCACATGAGAAAGACTGTTGTCTAGGCACCCTGGTCCTGAGCCAGCCAGTGTCAATCAGAGGAGCGCCCCTCTTCCCCCGTGACTAGGCCCAGTTGCTAAGTGGGGTCTCCAGGCTGGGAAGTGAAAGCCTGAGCAGGAGAGGAGATACAGCCCGAGCACAGAGGCCTCTCTTACCACAGGGAACACTGGTGGTCTGGGGGCCTCAGCATCCAGCCCAGGATGGGACAGGGCCTGAGTAGGACCCTGGCATGTTGGGTGGAAAAGTAGAGGGTAAGAATTGCAGTGTATGTGGGGGTATCTGAGCATTTCCGGGAGCACTGCTGGACCGTCGTCAAGGGCACAGGTCCTGAAGTGGGTTTCCTGGGGAGAGTGGGAAAGCCTCTGAGCAGGGAGCGAGCCACCAGAGCATCAACCATGCCTAGGTGACTTCCCTGGCTTGTCCCCACTGGGGCTGTAGGAGCAGCTGCCATGAGATTCGGGAAGAAAACCACTGCTTTCAGTCAGCAGTAGAGTTGGGAGTCCTTCCTTCCACCTGTCTCTTCTACATCAGTGGCTGCCTCCCCAGCCCATCACTGGGTCCCCAAGGGGCAAACTCACCATTGTGTCTCGCCCTGGGGAGCTGGAGCAGCTGGGCCCAGGGGCCTGGCCCTTACCCTTCTCCCACAGAGTGTAACGGCCACTGGGTCGGTAGGTGGGGCTGAGGACTTCAGGGACTCGTGAGGGAGGGGCCTGGGTGAGGCCCTGAGGTGTGCTGCCCTTGCAACCATAGTTCTCCAGGTAGTCCGCCAGGTACTCCGAGCGGCTGGCTGCCTGGTAGAGCCCCTGCAGGGCACACAGCTCCTTGCGTGTACGGGCCAGCATGGGGCTGCGGCCCAGGTGCCCAGGGTCTATCCGGTAGCTATCTGAGGTCCGTAGGCTGGAGAAATCCCTGGCCAGGTCTAACTGACTGTTCGACTTCTTCTGGGTCAGGGTTATCCCCTGGTTGCGGGCATTCATGGGCAGGTAGCTGAGGGAGCTGTTGGTTACTCCATAAGGGAATACACTGCCCCCGCTGAGTCCACTCCCTGTGGGCCGCTCAGTGCCCCGAGTCTGGCTCTCTGCCTTCTTACCACCCCCGATGATGTCTGGTCTCAGCAGGGCGCGGCCCCTGTCATAGTCCAGGATGGAGGAGGGGCCATAGGTACTGGGCCGAGTGAGGAAGCTGGCTGGGGGCCCAGGTTTGAAACCACGCTTCTCCCTCTCCAGGAAGGAGGCGGCCAGGTTGGCCCCGTAGGAAGACGGGGTGTAGGTGCCATAGCCTGATTTGGCGTAAGGGGCATCTGTGTAGCGGGCCGATTCTGTGTAGCGCTTCAGCGTGGAGGAGAGCTGGGACATCCTTCAGGGCTGCACTCCGTGGGGACTGGGAGCTGCATGGGCTGAAAGACAAGGAAAGCAGTCGTTAGAGGGCCCTGACAGATGTCGGGCTTCCACTGTATCTGCTCTCCATCCCCAGCTGGCCAGAACCTTAGATCTCAACCAGGGACCACACATTTCCAAAGGGGCCAGCCTGCCGCGGAAAACCATGCCTCTCGTGTGGGTCCACACATGTCCATGCGTTCACACCTCACCAAGAGCGCAGAGGTGATGGCCTCCATATAGCACACAGGGCAGTCAGTCTCAGCACATCCTGGCACCTCTGAGTACTCCCCTTAGGGCCCCACACATGCAAGCGGCACTGCCCTCCCTCTGCAGCCCTCCAGGTCCCACACAGTCTTCCACCCAGATCCCATCAGCTTCTCAGCTTCTGCAGAGACTCCCCAGCTAGAGAGATGTCCCTGTCCTCACCCTCTGGACTAAGAACACTGGACAGTTTAGGAGTTAAGACCATTCCACTCCCTTCTGACTTATGGGATGAGTAGGAGTCTCTTTGGAACCATCAACTGTCTGAGTGGGAGTGACCTGAGGATCATTTGGTCAGATTCCTGGTGAGGAAAAGGGAGCTCATGAGAGGAAGTAATAGGGCTGGGGGAAGGTGGAGGGTAGTGAGCATGTGGCAGAGAGGGGGCTTGACCTTGGTCTCTGGACCCCACTCCAGAGTTCTTCCCCAGACATGGGCACTGCCCTGTCACTGAGCGAAACCTCTGTTCTAAGTGGGGCGGGGGCACTGTGGCCTTCCAGGAGCTTCCCTGCCAACACCCATTCCACTGCTCAGGGTGATGAACCTGCACTGGGGCTCCCCTAGAGGCTGAAACTCTGAACTGCAGGCAGCACACCCTGTGCCCACCCTAAGTCCTCACAACTGGGGTGGAGCTGGTGAAAGAACACAGTATCTGAACTAAGGAGTTTTGAGGGCCCTAAAGGGTGATCCATTTTAATCTCCCTGGTGTGCGGATGGAAAACGTGACACTGGTTTGCCCAGGGTCACACACTAGCAGAGCCAGGATTGGAATTCAGGTCTTTCGGATTTCCAGCCCAGTGCGCTTTTCTTGATTCACCCCTCCCCATCGAATTTAGGCTCACTTGGGGACTCCCAGAGTCCCTCCTAACCCTAAGAGCACAGGGGTCATCTACAATGGAGCTGGAGGCGCAGTTGCTATGGAAAGAGTAGCAGGTAGGACCAGGCCCCTTCACGAGGGCCATCAGGGGCCCTTGGGAGTGGGGGGGCAGAGCCCCCCAGGACTCTCAGAGTAGTGTGTGCAGGGGCTGGTTTTGACGTGCTCTGTGACTGGCTCGGTGATTCTGTCCTAGTCATTTAACCTCTCCAAGCTCCAATTTTCTCACCTGTAAAGTGATAACACATCATCATGATTCCTACCTCTCAGGGCTGCTGTGAAGAATGAGTGAGATGATAACATGGGAAAGCCCTCAGTAATGACAGGTCATTACCCCTCCCCCAGCCCCTGCCTGGAAGCCGCTCTACCTGCTCCTCCCTTTGTGGGCCTAGAAGAAGTAATGTCAGGGCAGGCTAGCTCCTTGGTGGCTTCTGACCTCAGCCTTGAGCACCAAGGTTTCCCCTGCAGCCCCCAGTGAAATGAACTGATGAGCGGGCAGTGGCTTGGGAGGCCCACAGCCTGCCCCAGGCCGGCAGCTCGGCCCATCAGGGCAGAGAGGAGCTGGTGCCAAGCCCCACATGCCGAGCGCTTGGCAGAGAGCACTAGAAACTCAGTCCATGCAAGGCTTGGGGTAGGTGTAAGGGTAGATCAACAGATGGCAACTTCCATAAAGGCCCTAGAACAAAACTTCTAAGACCCTGCCAGAGACCTCCAGCAATTTTCAGTCCAGGCTCACATCAGAAAAACCTGGTCCACATTTATTGTCCACCCTTTTCCCACCTGGCCCGGACCCCCTACCTTCATGTACACTCCCTTGCCCATTGCACTCCCACCTCCAGCACAACTTTCAGCTCTTTCTAGGGAAAGGTAACTATAGGAAGTCCTTATTCAGGGTTGGGGAAAACCACAAGCTTTCCTCGCATTTGCTTAACTTTCTGGGGTGCAGAGAAGGGAGAGAGTGAAAGGTGAGGGAGGCCAAGGGGACAGACAGACAGAGGCACAGGGGGCTGGGTGTGGGTCCAGTCTATTTCACTATTGATGAGAACTCCATCAATAATTCAAAGTCAAAGAAACTCCAGGTCTCAGGAGCTGGGCTCTGGGACACCTAGCGGCCAATCAGATACAACCCATCCCCTTCCACGAGTTCCAGCCTCCAGCCCAGGACGCCTCCCCCCCTCCCCCACACGAAGGCTCCCAGGGAATTGGTATTCTGCAGGCAGTGCCCAGAGCTTGTAGCTCATGACCTCTCCTGGCCCCGCTGATGATGCAGAAATTCTGCGGCCAAACAAGGTACAGCCTGAGCAGGGACAGACAGCTCTGGGACAGCTGATAAGTAGCCCTGGGAAGGGTTGTGGAGGCTGGAGGTAGAGCCACACCTTCTGGCCCAGAGTCCCAGGAGGGCTCCTAAATCTCTGCTTTCCTTTCTGTTCCAATCTGGTGGCAACTGACAGTGGTCTGCGCCCCACTCCTGGAAGCAGCCCTGGGGGAGGGGAGGGGTCATGCTCTCCCAAACAGCCTCCTGGAAGCTGCCTGTCAGCACTGACATCTGGCTTACAGTTCCCATGTCTGGAGAGAGGATCCCTATTGGAGCTGAGACCTTGAGCAAGTCTATCCACCCCTCCAGCCCCCCTCTCCCCTCCTCACCATGTTTCACTTTTGAGAAGAGTGCTAGTACCTTCCAGGTGAGCAGACAGCTTGGGTTGGTGCACCTTGGCATAACCTGGCACGGGCTGCATAACATACCATGGGGGGAAACCAGGCCAGGGCCCTGGCAGTATCCTTGCTACACAAGACAGGGACAGGACTGGCACTCACATGGCTAGGAGTCGTCTCGTTGCCACTGGAACAGCCTGAACTGAATGGCCCTTTCATGGGGCAGTGGGAGGCAAGCTGATTGGCTGGGACACCCCCCTCCCCATCCCTGCCCAGTGTGGGGCCCCTGCAGCCTGGCTCCTTTCACTGTTTACCCAGAGCTGGCAAGTACAGGCATGTGGCTCCAGGAGGTGCCTCCTGGGGTGCCAGCCTCAGATAGCAGGGGCAACAGCAGGGGCAGTCCACCTACCAAGCTCCTCCTCCCTGCCACCTTCACAGAGGTGCCTCTACCCTTCCCTGCTCTGCTTGAGTCTCCCTCCCTGTGCTCAGTTTCCCCCTCTTAGGAGGGGCAGCAACATTTCTCTGCACCGAGCATTCAGCTTCCTGATAGGACCATGAGCCAAGCACCATCGTCCCACCAGCAGGTATGAACACCTCTGGACCAGGCACCCTGCTGAGGACTTCACATGCAGCCTCAACTCTAACACTCAGCCTCGCCCGCCACATGCCTGGTGCTCTTCTGAGTACAGTGTCCCCAAAACCTTAGTGCAATTTTAAGCTTTAATTCTTTTAGAAGAATAAATGCCCTGCCCTGGCCGGTGTGGCTCCGTTGGTTGGGCATTGTCCGTGCACTATTTCTGGTCAGGGCACACGCCCACGGTTGTCTCTCGATCAGATCTCGGGTGGTGGGTGCAGGAGGCAGCCGATCAACGTGTCTCTCTTACGTCGATGTTCCTCTCTCTCTCTTCCTTCCACTCTCTCTGGAAAGCAATGGAAACAGTGTCCTCAGGTGAGGATAAAAAAACATTAAAATAGACAAGCCCTGGCTGGTTTGGCTCAGTGGTTAGAGCGTCAGCCCACAGACTGAAGGGTCCCGGGTTGGATTACGCCCCAGGGCATGGACCTCAGTTGTGGGCTTGATCTCTGGCCCTGGTAGGGTTGCGAGCGGAGGCAGCCAGTGTGTCTTTCTCACATCGATGTCTCTCTCTCCCCCTTCCACTCTTTCAGAGAAGCAATGGAAAAATATCCTCAGGTGAGGATTAAAAAAAATAGACAAGAAATTTAAATAATAAAGCATTTAGCATTTGTATTTTTGAAGTTATCAAAGCTTAAAACTTCACTAAGGGGGTAGATGCTGGGTGGAGGGGATCAATGGGGGAACAAGGGACATCTGTAATACTTTCAACAATAAAGATAAATAAAAAAAAAACACAAACAACTTCACTAAGACTTCTGGAACACCGCGATGAACTCATCTAGTCCTCACAGCTGCTCTGAGCAGGTGTATTAATCTGCCCATTTGCAGGTGAGGACACTGGGGTTTGTGGGAGTGATGTGGATTTCCCAGGGCCACACTGGGAAGAGTGGCAGAGCTGCACTGGGACCTGCGTTCTGTCCTCTTAACAACCACCCTGAACCTGATGCCCCACTTCACACTTCCCCGAGCTCTCCCTGAGCTGGCACAGAGTGGGAGACCTGTGAGGTTGGGGGGGGGGTGGGGCATCCAGGCATCACTGTCTAGGCAATGGCATGGCGGGCCCTTCAGAGTTTCCACTGCAGGGGAATGAAAACGAAGTCAGGTGCAACCTGAGCCCCAGTACAATATTGATCGGCGGCGAGATGGTCTAGGAGGCCTCTATTTCACCTGCAGTGCCAAGCTCCGGCATGTCCCCCTAGCACTAGGGTCTAGCCCTGGCCATGGCCCTTGGCCCAAGGCCTGGTTATGGACATGTGCTCCAGCCTCCTACCCTTGCTGCAGCTTGGCTCACTCCCTAAGGTACCCAGGCTAGGTGAGTCAGGGGTTAAAATGAAACCTATCCCCCAGGGGCAGCCAACCCCCTTGCAATCAGTCACTGTCATTTCCTGTTGCTCACGTGAAAGGTTCCCTAACCTGCCCAGCCAGGGGAGGACTTGCTCCCAAGGAATCCCAGGCACTCCTGGCATCCAGGGTAGGAGATGGGTAATGTCCCACATCCCAGCAGCCTTCCTGGCCCCTTGCTGCCCAGAGTTGCCCTGCTTTCTGGGGTGAAGGCATGCCAGCTTCTGTGGCCTAGTCATTGTCTAGATAGA